ATTACGTTAAATTCATTATTTATTTTCTTACACATAACTAATACGTGGTTAACAAAAGAGAGCCTATTATCTATTGTTATCCCAAATATATCTATTGAGTGATTTGCTGGGAAACTAAAATTGTGCTCAGTTTTTCCCAGGATTAGAGAGTTAACAATCATGCCATTGTTTTTTACCACTGATTTAACATTAACTTGGACAAATGCAGTCTTCCAGTGCGAAAGTGGGTCTAGGCTAGACGAGTAAATCTGATGGTTGTCTGCGTTTAGTTTTGCATATTTCACATGCTGAAACAAGTCATTAATAAAATTGAAAAACATTGGTCCTAAGATGCTCCCTTTGGAACTCCTCTTCTGGTGCCCGCCCAGTTGGAGAAGGTATCTCCAATCTCTACTTGCTGCTGTCTTCCTGACAAGTAGTTCTTAAGTAGCGTGCAACCTCCTTCGCCAACTCCATATGCTTTGAGTTTTGCCAAGAGTAAGTCATGCTGAATGACATCAAAAGCTTTAGAAAGGTCCATAGAGACTGTCATGCACCTCCAAATAATGTGGTTTTCTAGAACCCTATATGAACTAATAAATCGGACAGAATACGCATGCACCTCCAGTCCTAGCACTGTGACATGCCTGTAATTTGCTTTATTAATGCTTTTTTAAACAAAGGTTTGTCCCATTTTGCTCATCCAGTTTGTTGAAATTCTGTCATTTCCCATTTTGCTTTCAGATTCTCCACAATTTCCGCCAATGCTTCCTTGAAACCTCTTCTTGGTCGTTTTGAGTTTGTTGAGAACCTGTCTCTGTTTTCTTCATAGGGTAGTAGATTTTTGGCCCACATAACAGCTGTTTCATGTGTTCCGAAGAAAGATATTGCAAACTTTTTGGGTGGAATCTTCTCATCTGGTGCAGGAACATCAATCCGGGCTGGCCAATGAGGATATCCAGGCATCTTTGCCCATATTAAATCACCTGGAGAAAACGTCATTGTTTGACTGCTTACATAGAAACGTTAGACACATCCAAGTTCGGAAGTTTTTGAAGAAAATCAATCTCTCCGCAGCCATCTCCTCTGGAGTCAAAGTGAGTGGCCATCTTCTCTGGAGTCATAGTAACAATCATAGGGTTGTAATAAGTGACAATTTAATTTACAGGATAGGGAAAAAAATCACATTTTTGTTTAAATTCTTAATGAAGTATTTGTGTGATTACGACCTGTTCTCGTGAGACTAAAAATTAGACAAGTATTTATTATTGGCTAGAAACTATAGGACACATTATTGTTGAGGCATGTGGACATGAATATTGATTTTAATAGTCGTCCATGTTCCTCCTTGAATAGGTGCAGTGAGAAAATTAACTTGGAACACTGCAGGGAAAAATAGGTGTCAAGTAGTGCTGAACTGTGCATCCACCAAGGAACCATTATATACCTTGTATAAAATGAAGATCTGGATGATGGTATTTTTAGTGTGATAGAGGTACAGTACAGTATTAGCACTTCCTTATTGTAGATCTGGTCTGATTTGAATTCTTCACCTTAACAACTTTATTTGTACACTTAAGAACTACATGTGTGTATAATACAGCCATGTCTCCTTATTAACTAATGTTAAAAGTACAAGTCACCACAAGAAAAGTTCCCCAATTACTATTAGTAGGAACAAACAACATATTCAATACTAAGAAACCCTTGCTGTTATTTGGTTGCCCTCAACAGTAAATATTATTCCATCTCAGAAGTTTTAACCATTTATTTTATCCACTTAATATTTGACTTTGGTGTATGACAACTTAGATGGGTGCAGTTAAAAAGTATTAGAAGTACTATTAGTATTTTTGCCTTGTGAGAAAGTTGTTACTAGTACAGCAACCTGTTTTTGTTATAATTTAAGTTTTCAATTCGGTGTGATTGGTATTTTTTTCAGGGGCATGCAGTGATGGTACGAATTTCTTCACCTGACATTTTTTTATTTGAAGACATCATCAGAGTGGTTGTCTGAGCATGTCCTTAAAACAGTCTTCAGTAATATTGAAAAGATCCTTTGCTGTTGAAAAATACAAAATGTAACCTTTTCCCACTCTTTTACATTTTAGGTGAAGGAACAAGTGAACTGTTTTAACTCAAGTTATAAAAAATTCTTCTGACCTCACAATCATTCGTAGGTGAGTAAAACCTTCTGAACTGTTGTTGAAACGTCCCCATTCAGTGGTCACCTCCAGGCAACAGTGCTAGCATTGGCTAGGATTTTATTCTTGTCCCAAATCACCTTAATAAACTTCTACTCAGCAACCATGCAGCCATAGGGAAAATTTAATTTCTGTGTGACCCATTCGCCAAGACCATTATTTTAGCAATAAGAAATATTCATAATTATGATAAAAACCTAACAGCAGTGCTACTACAATAAATACTTAGATCCACATAGTAGTTCTACCTTTTCAATTCTACCTGTAAAATTTTTTCGAAAGGTTGTCTGAACAGTGGTCCAGTATTATCTTCTATTTCGATATGGGTTTTTTCGTAACTATAAAATAGGACCAAAGTGGCTTAGTCACAATACAGATCACAAGGGAGAACACACAGGCCAGAGAAAAAAGATAAGAAGTCAGAAAAATCTTGTTTCAAAATACACCTGTACTTCCTTTTAAATAATTTCATGATCTTTAGGGTTTTTGCCCAAAACTTTTCCCTCCTCTACAATGAAGCCCAGTTATTAGATAGAGTAAAATGGGAAAACAAGAGTTTAAAATGAAGGAAGCATGAATTAGGAAAAAGTAATTCGCTTAAATCCTAAGGAGCACATCCTTCCGGCCATTTCGAAACCTTGAAAGCCATAATTTGGCTCCAGGAACAAAAGCCAGTCTAGTGCAGTGCTCATTGTTTTTATTTTTGTGAACAATGTTTTTTGAAGTTTTGGGGGTTTTTGACCAGAAAATGACTAGGAAGCAGCTTGATTAGTTTAAATGGCTTTTTTGACAAACAAATCTCAAATGGCAATTTGGTTTAACACCTGGTGGTGATTACCCCCTATTCTCCTGCATTGTTTTTTCTTATCATAGATCTCACCTGTTGCAATGATGAGTAATTAACCACTGTGTGCTGAATAAGCTGTGTGGCTTCACAAACGAGCTTTTTAAATCTGAGCAACAGGGTTTTAAAGTTCAAAAACTGGTTTGTTTACCGATAGTAAATGTACAAGGGAAATCCTTTTCATCTGAGTTTGAATTTCTTGCATTTTCAGGATACCTCAAGATCTTTGTACAAATGCCAAGGGAAACCAGATCATGTAACATTCTGTAAGTTGTAAAATTATTACTATCAAACTTGGAAAATCATGAACACCCGAAATGTAATAATTATTGAGACCTATCTCAACAAAGATCGGTATGCATAGACTAACACAAGCAGAACACAAGCCACAAATTAATTACTGTTACTGCTTGTGGTTTAGTCATTCACAGTTTTAATAGTGTAATGAACCTTTCAATCATGTAACCCCACTTTTAAAACCATACAATCTACATTTCTTTGCATTATAATAAAGGCTGAATCAATTTAAAAATATGTACCCAATGTATGTACTTACTTGTAATCAACCTAAAAAGACTCCCATAAGAGTGCACCAACCTTTTTGTCCAGATGATGATGTGCTATTTTGGTTGGGGTGTGATTATTCCTGCCTCTGAATCAAAAATGTTGATAGATCAATGCACAGGGGCCATCTGATGGATCTAACTTTGTCTCCTACATGTAATTACCGATAATTAAAACAAGGTGCCGCAAAGATCTACCCCTGAAACCCATTTTTTTAGTTGTTCATAAGTGGCTAAGTTTGACCATTAAAGTAAGGAGGGCAACAAAATTTTATAATATCAGTGCTCCAGATTATAAACTAATGGTAGGCAGACAAAACATTGGTGACCAGAAAAGAAAGACATTTTGTACATGAAGGGTTTGAAATAATGAAAATGACTGCCCAGCATTGTATATGCAACATAAAAGTGGTTAAAACTCTGGGGTCAGTTGTTTAAATGCTGATTATTGCTAACTCAGGGTTAAATTTTAATTGGTGTTTCTTTTTCTTTTGATCAAAAGCATTTCCTCGGATAATTTTTGCGATTCCATCTAGCTTATCCAATCACCAAATTGTAGACGGAAAGAATAAGACAGAATTTGTTTGTTTGAAGCTTTTATATCTGAGTTCAATTTTGCACAAACCCTGAGTTATCTTAACCCAGCTTTGAATAACCCAACCCAGAATTTTAAAGAAAATAGAGCATAAATAATATCTTATGCAGACATTAATCTCACTTTAGCTGCAGAAGACCATAAACACAAGTAATAAAAGCACTATAGCTTGATACATGACCACTGAAGATAGGTCACTAAATTAGCGACTTTCGCTCGATATCTTTTTAGCCATTTTTTTTTTACTTGCTATGGCGACCAATTTAATGGTAGCATCTTGGAGCACTGAATAGTACATTAAATTGTTCAGCTCAGTAAGGAATTATTTTAACTTAACAGGAAATTTTTCATTTTTCTTTTCAGAACAAAGAAGGTGTCAACTCAAGTGAAACCACTGTAACTCTAAAAATCAATGAAAAAAACAAACAAACAATTCTGTTAAGTTAATGTCAAGTTAACTTTTTTCAAAAGTAATATGGGGTAAATTTTTTAAAGTGGTCGTGGTTTGAAAATAATTATTTGTGCTTTTTCTCTTAAAAAGCTGAGGAAAAGCCTTTTGTGACAATATAAATGTGACTTAATCACTGAAATAAATTTGAATAAACTCGCAAAGGAGGCAATTAAAACTAAATAAGTGAGAGTGTTTTACCAAGTTTAAGACTTCAGCGACAGCCTATTGCCCTTTAGCCATCACTAAAAAGGGTTACAGTGCATTTTAAAAATCTTTCAATCTGTTATTTGTTGGATGCATACATGTAGGATTTTGTCCACTGGCTCAAACATAAGGGTGACAAAATAGTAATTTTCCCATTACTAGGCAGACTAGAAGTGAAAGTGTTCATAATGAGTTCTTGAAGAATGATGAAGTGTTATTTGAATATGGAGCTGGGGAGGGGGAAAGGGTGGCAAAGCCTGGACACATGCTCTTGATGGTGCCATTCCATGATACAAGATTTGGTTTCGTGCTCTGATTGGCCAAACATCTTCATGCTGACAGATTTGCAGAACTGTTGACAGTATCGGGCAATTTTTGCTGTGATAACATTGTAAGCGTATTTGGTTTGTTAACTACACTAATAACAAGTGATGCAAACGACTTTGTAAACGCTAAAAGCCATGCAAGAGAGAAATAAATGCTTGTAGGGTATCTCCACACAGTTGTGGTTTATGTGTTCTTGGAGCACAAGGATTAGCTGTGCGCAACATGTGTACTTTGCATATATCCACTGATTTTTTAGTTTTATCACACTTTTGGTAGGAGCGCGATAACACTGCTGTGCCTTTTGAATGTTGGTTTATGAGTCAATCACTTTTTGTAAATGTGACCGTAGTTTATCACAAGATAGCATAAGAAAAGTTCATTATTTTTAAGGCTTCTTTATTTGGCAACAGATCACAGGAATATTTTTTGCTCTTCTTGGAGCTGAGGGATAAGCAAAAAAGTCTTGCGAAGAAATTTGTATCGCTTGCTCAAAATCTGTGTTTTACAAAATCTTTTCCCCAATTATTGGGGAAAAGATTTTGTAAAACACAGATTTTGAGCAAGCGATACAAATTTCTTCGTAAGACTTTTTTGCTTATCCCTCAGCTCCAAGAAGAGCAAAAAATATTCCTGTGATCTGTTGCCAAATAAAGAAGCCTTAAAAATAATGAACTTTTCTTATGCTATCTTGTGATAAACTACGGTCACATTTACAAAAAGTGATTGACTCATAAACCAACATTCAAAAGGCACAGCAGTGTTATCGCGCTCCTACCAAAAGTGTGATAAAACTAAAAAATCAGTGGATATATGCAAAGTACGCATGTTGCGCACAGCTAATCCTTGTGCTCCAAGAACACATAAACCACAACTGTGTGGAGATACCCTACAAGCATTTATTTCTCTCTTGCATGGCTTTTAGCGTTTACAAAGTCGTTTGCATCACTTGTTATTAGTGTAGTTAACAAACCAAATACGCTTACAATGTTATCACAGCAAAAATTTAATACAAAAGTAACAATATGTTAGTGTGCAAATAACAATTTTATGGAATAATCCCAATCAACTTTAATTCACAAGTTGTTCCCAATCTACAGGCCCAAGTTTTTTGAAAGGTGAAAAATGCTATCAGTTGGGAAATTGCTATCCACTGAGTAGCACAAATAATGAAAAACATTTTTCACTTTTGGTTCCTTTGACACTGACCCACTGGATAGTGCTCTATCATTCATGGTGGATGGCACTTTTCTGCTTTTCATCAACCAGGGCTGTGGTATAATTCCTAATAAATACCACTTATTAACCAAGAGTGAGGTCATTAGAGGGAAATCTCAGACCAAGGCCTTGATGTATTGACTGAGCGACAGCGAGGTCAATACATAAAGGCCAAGATCTGATATTTCCCTGTGAAGCTAAACAGACGAGGTTAATCAGGTGTTAATTTTATTATAATGGCCTTTTCTTTGACTGAGAAGTTATGGACTTGAGCCTAGCCTGCAATAAATTAAAACCAGTGACTGGTAAAAAAAAAAACATCACCTCAGTGAGTTGTACACTTGAGCCTGTGATACAGTCATGTGACACTAGTCAGTGGATACCTTTTTGACAGCTGTCAATTGAACATAACATGGATGTCCATAAGATATCCACTATCAAGTTAAACACAGAATGTATATGCCTTGGACATCTAGCTGATGCTGGGTCGTTAAAAGAAAATCTTGCCTGTTTAGCAGCTATATAATAAAGCATTAATATAATTGAACAAGCCACCCCAAAGAAATTTGTCAGCTATGTTATAAGTGCAATCTACATAGTTCATAGACAATATTGACACTCCCTTATTCTTGTTACATTTATGCCACCCTAAAGAAATTCAACAGCTTATGGTTCAGGAACAAGCTAGCCCATACTTTTGACAGAACTGTTTGTATGCTTTTCCCTTGACAAATATTTGACGTGCTATAATATTTTTAATACAGTTTATTGTGTCAATACAAAATACATGTATACCACCCTGAAGTAATTTAACAGCTTATTTAAGTGTACATGCAAGCTAGTTCATACATGTGCCATTGAGAAAACCCCCTTACACTTTCCCATAAACAGATATTTGACATGCTATAATATTATTATTAATAAAAAATACAAACAAATAAAATTCTGCGACTCTGAAGAAATTCAATAGCTTATGTTTTGGGAAAACTCTCTGTACACTTTCCATTAACAAAATAGTTATCCTAAAAAAAGTTCTTTCAATGTTGCATTTCCTTTGGCAAAACAATAATTGAAAGAATAGTAAAAAACACAATAGCAATATGTTTTTGCCATCTAAATAACTCTTGATGAAGAGTGCAGGGTCCTATCACCAAAGTAAAATATACTTGAAGCAGAAATCATTGCTATAACGTCAATCTATAATTATTTTTTTGTTTTTGTCTTTCCCTTGCAAATAATAATATAATTTTATCACAATACTGGCTTTACTAATAAATTTTGCCTCAAGTAAACCCACTGCAAAATGGTACAACTATTTTAAAAATTCTACAGTCAACCAAACCTAAGATGTGTAATTTTCTAAGTCATTGTCACAGTCCATTATTATTTGCACAATCACACTAAGTAAACACATCAACTATTTAACAATATTATTCCTGGGGCCCTCATGGCTGCCGAGTTGTTTTAGTAAAATCCAACTAGTTGGTCAAAAATATCGAGACAAAACAACTTTCGCTAGTCAGAGCTAGACTTAATCCTTTTTTGCCCCCCAAAAGCCAGCGCTTTTTGCTACTAGTGGGCTATAATAAACAGAATAGTAGTAGCTCAACCAATCAGAATGCAGCATTGATAATAGACCACTAGTTGGATTTTACTAAAACAGAACAGTTTAACAGGTATCCCTATAATCAGTTTATATAATAAAAGGGTAGGTAAACCCCATATTACAAGGAATTTTCAGACTGACTTCATGCAGTTAATTCAAAGAAATCACAAAAATATTGTTAATTTCACACAGCTAAAAATATACAAATAAATAAACAATTAATGAATAAATTGCTAATAATGTTTAATTTCCTCATAAAATGCATTAATATCTCAGTCATCAAATAAACTTGGTAGATTTGTTAAACTGTTTGGTAGACTACAATTATTTTCTGTACTATTGACAGGGAATTTTTGTCTGTCACTCCCTGATCTTTCAGTGTGTTTCTTTAACCAACAAAAAATCTAATTTTAACAAGTGCCAATTAATTCGCATTAAAACTCCAACACCTTGCAGTTTGCAAACAAGTAGGAAAAAGCAAAAACAAATAAAAACAGGCATCTATTCCAGAAAAAAAGTTTTTATCCAATGAAATTTAGGCAAGTACAGTTGCAAAATTAATCATTCTCGATGGGAGAAATGTCAGCTATTGCTTGTTAATGTTTGATTTTAAGTTATGAGTAAAGGGAATTTATCCAGCAAACAAACATGCAATTTCTCTCAGAACTTTAAGAGTTTCCATTGTGCTATGTTCACAAACTATGTCCTACATTCTTGAGGATGAACCAACTTGGGCTAGTGCAGGGTCATGCATTAGCTGTCCATCACGAATCCTCCTTTTGAGTTCATCCCACAAAAGTCTCCTCTCTTTCAGAACTCCCTTAAGAAGGCCCTTGTTTTCCATGGCTCTCCGGGTCAAGTATGGCAGGACATCCTCCACTGGCCCAAATGGAACATACTTGTACACCGCATATCCCTCATTACCTGTGAAGTTTAAGGAAATTATTCATATAAAAATTAATATCTGCGATAATGTTATAACCATTTTGTTATTTCATTTTCATGTTAAAGGTAGTACTCTCAATGACAATAGGAAGTACACTGTAACATGCAGAGGAAGGAAAGAGGTTGGGGGAGAGAGTGATGTGGATAAATGTACTGGCATTTGAACCTCTTAGTATTTTAAATTGCATGCAAAACTGCAATGATGATTATCTCATCATCCTTGATCACATTCTGCAATCAGACATGATTTCTAAAGTTTTATCAAATACTACACTTTAGTCTTTAGAAACAACCTTTGTTGATTTTCAGAACACACTGGAAATAAAATAGCTCTTCAAGTAAATTGTTTGAGGCAGCTATGCCAGGATTGTTAATTTTCTTACGACAGGCATAGATTTATAAGAGGACAATGAAGTTACGGTTCAGAAACACTGTTTAACTCACCAAGTGTAAATGAAATTGGGTCAGACATTCCAAAAAGCTGCCCAAAGAAAACTTTTTTTTCTTTTGGTAAAATTCCTAACTCATGCATCCTAAAAATAAAATACAGTATAATGTCAAACAACAATAAAAAATCAATCAGCACTTGTACTGCATGGTGACTGGGAGGGTGTGATAGTTTTTAGGGAGGTACACAAATGTACTTTTTCAAGTTAACATTTATGTATGCTGACAAATGCCATGACAAAAAGTATGATACTGTAGATGTTTGCATGTACAAGGGCAGTGAAGTGAAGATAGTTTAAGGTCATTCATAGTCACTTTGTCATCAGTTTTCACTTGATACTCTATCCAACTAGTTTAGCCTAGTGTAGCCTTACCCTCCCCAGAGCTGCTTGTAACAAAAAAAAAATTGATGATGAAAAATTATCAAAAAACTAGTTGTTGACCGATTTACCCAGCCAAAGCGTTTGTATAGGATGATGTTGATCATTACAACATACCTCTTAACAGCAACCTGAATGGAATTCTCATTGTGGGTTGCAATCAAAACATTAGCATTTCCTCTCTTGGTCTCCTCCAATACTGCATTCATAACTTCATCAAAGCATTTACTAGTTGCCTTGTAGCTTGGATGGATAGGGTCTTCATAACCTAGTGAACTTGCTCTCAATCTTTCTTGTTCCATGTAAGCACCTCGGACCAGCTTTGCTCCGAACATGTAACCCTCTCGACGTGCCAGCTCCATGTCTGTCTGAATTTTAGAGTAGGTGTCCTAGAACAAACAGGAGCAATCATGGAGAGTGGGTTATCGTTAATGACAGTTCTGCAAACTGAGGTGCCGTTTATATGGAGAAAACCTGCCATGGGTAGAAGGCCGGTCACTCTCCCGGTTGAGTCAACTTAACCGGGGTTTATACGAGAAAAAAGTTGACCCCTTTGCTTGAGCCAACAGGGCATGTGCACGTGCATCCTCTTACTGTCTAATGCTTTGACCAAGTTGACCCAGCTGGGTGACCCAAAGTGTTTATAATTATGGAGAAAGCTGGCTCAGCTAGGAAGGTGACCCTGCCTACCAACAAAAGGGTGACCAAGCCAACTTTTTTATTCTCATGTAAATGGTTCACAAGGTTTTGTAGGGAAATGTTGGCTCAGGGAGGCGAGTGACCGTTCTACCTAGGACATCTTTACTACATATAAACAGGGTCTAAGATTCACAGGATTTCACTTATTATTACTTCATTAATCTTGTATAAATGATTTTGTGGTTGTTTTTCCATGGTTAGTTCAGTTTTTTTCCAACATTAGACAGAGAATAAAACTGAAACGAACAGCAGAGATTAAGACAAAAATAAAGAAGAATAATGACATCTGATTAACATTATTGTTGCATGGGATATTATTTTAAGTAGAGAGGCTTATTCTAACCATGTATGCACATGTGATGAAGGTGTAAGTTGCCGGTTACCTTAAGGTAGCACTGATATGTATTTAAGACAAGTGGCGAGTCCTTGTTGAAGTGCCTCATCAATTCCAGGGTGAGATGTCTTATAGCAGGTTGAAAATATGTCTGTTCAGCATCCACCATAAGTCTCACTCCCCTCTTCACAGCATGCTTTAATGATGACAAGACAAAACTCCAAAATTGACATGGTATGTGGTATTAAAAAATAATGATAGTGATAATGATGATGACTATCATTCAGAGAAATACCAGTTTAACAATTGAAATCATACAAAAAAACATCCCCTGGCCCTCTCATTCCTTTTTGGAGGGGATATTTATACATGAAGCTGTTTAATAAAAATGTGGTGGAAATAATTATTCAAATAATATCTTAATAAAGAGGGAAACTGACAATGCTCATGCCACTAGTAAATAAACCTGTCATTCTTCAAAATTGTTAAGAACTAAATTGCAATAAAACCAGTCTAACAATAGAATAGAAATCATAAACATAGAGTAAAATGAAAAGAAATCTTTGTGTGATGATTGCACTGTTACACGCTAAAAGAAGTCATAATGTTTCAAGAAAGTTATTTTATGAGTCTGACAGTTACCACTTAACTTATGTTAATGTAATCCATACTACAGAATCTTCTTAGCTGGGGAGACTAATTTGGAATTACTTATATGTGCACCTTTTCTAGGGGTCAAACATTTCATGTTGGAGTTGAGATCATATCCCAGGAAAAGGGGACTGGGGATTTTGCTTGGCTTCTGTAAATTGCAACAATAAGTTGCCTTCAAATCTCAGCAGTTTTTCCCATACCACTTTAAAAATTATATATGATAGCTTAATGCATACCTCAGCAAGAGTTGTCAGCCTCTCTGACATGTTATTCATTTGGTGTAGCTCCTCATCCTCTAGAACTGATATGATTGGTCTTCCTGTCTCTTCCTAAGTAAAATCAGAAAGGTTAATGTGTAAAACATGACTGACCTGCAAATGAAAATGAATTTTTGAAAATACATTGTAGAGCGGGGTTAGCTGAGAAGCCTGTAACTCACATCTCCTTGTGGCTTGGCCTTGAACAGCTGCGATAGTTTCAGCTGAGGTGTAAGAAATTCATGCCACTCTATGACATCAATATCTCTGAAAAACAAAAAGAGAGTAGAGTCCTTAAGTATCATTTTTAACATATGACCCGCCGCATAGTTCTTTATTTTAACAGTGCAGTGAAACTCAGCCCTTATTGTTGACACTGTAGCAGGCCATATGTCTTCATAAGAGAGAGATAACAGTGAGACTTAAGTCCGACAAACGTTTGTAGTTATTTGTTTCATTTTCACAGTGGGTTTAGTAGGCTTCATTTCGCCTGCTCTCTCCATCCTCCTCAAGTCAAAAGAAGAGATGGCTCGACGCGTGAGTGGCCTATTGGGTCTGTGACGTAAATTCAAAATTTAAATGGGAAAATTAAGTCAAATGTTAAATACCCAACACATGTTATGCTTTGCCTCGTCGTCGCTTTAGTATTTGACATAAAAATCAGCAGAAACACGTACTGATTGTATTTAAATACATTGATCTTGCATAAATTTACTGATGGACTTGATGGTTGTCTCTTTCACATTAGCTGCCAACACACGTCACTTAGAACAACACCTTAGCATCCGCCGTTTGAAATCTGCTTCAGGAAAATGAATTTTTTGCCGCCTGCTCAATTTGAGCAGTCATCAATCTGATTGGTGGTAACTGACAATAGCAAACTCATGCGTCCAGCTGTCTGTTCTGGAGAGGAGTGTGGGCTCATTCCCAGAACAGCGGCTGGTAATCAAGCCTACTGGTTTAGCTGCTGTCCATATTATTGGGCTGTCTGTTAAAGTGAGGTGTCTGCAATATTATAGGCGAGAGTTGACTAGACTAGATCGAGCCTTGTATCATATGATACTACATTATTTTGTGACCCTTAAGATATCAAGAAATTTTATAAATGCTGTTAAATAATAAATTGATAATTATTGCAAAAGAAAATTCAAAAATTAAATTTACCCAGATTTGTTTGTGTCAATCAAGTCAAATATTCTGTCGGCTTCATCTGGGCTCATCTCAACCTGTTGCAACAAACTTACAGTCAATTACAGCTACAAAAAAAATCATCAGTATAAAACAAACCAACTACACCGACAAGCGACGCAAATGACTTTGTAAGTGCTAAAGGCCATGCAAGAGAGAAACCTCTGCTGACAGGGTATGAAGGAAAAAAAACAAAGTTCAATGTTCCCACAAATAGCCATGTTTTCCTTTTTAGCAGTGATTACCTTTTCTGCACTTTTTTTCATATTTCCTTTAGCTAATGAAAATGAACGGACGATAATAATTACTTGATTTTACTTTTGCAATCTGGAATAAAATTAATATTAAGCATATGACTGTAGATGTATTTTTTAGACGGGTTTGACTAGAAAAATTGAAGATCATAAAATTTATTAATTTGGTGTCTTAAACATTTGAGTTGTGAATATCAAAATCATTACCATACTACTTTATGTTTGAAAAAATAAAAAAATAAAACAGCATTTTCCACTTATCATAAAATTACCTTCAGGTTTAAAAAGAAGTTAAAATCTGCTACAAGCACATTTTACTTGCTTTATAGTTGATTCCCACAGGGAAAAACCTGGTAAAGTCCTGACTCTTCTACATGTATTCTTACCCCAAGCTTTTCTAAGCCTTCAAAGAACTTGTCTCTGGCAACAATGTTTCCTATTTTATTCATCTTTACAGAATCTGAGGCCAAGCAGTCAAAGAAATACTGAGTCTGATTCAGTATTTCAGAAATCCTCATCTGTTTCAAGTTAAAGAAAAAGTTTGACCTTAATACAATCATGATAAAATTAGTCATATGAGAGGTTTTTATAAAATTGCTAAAAATAAATTACTCAAGGCCTCATCTGGACACCAGATAATTTAGTAGAGGGACATAAATTTATTAGGCAGCAGTAGATCAGATCAGAAAAAGCACCTTTAACACTGAAGTAGGCATGTGAGGGACTAGGTTGCCCCTTTCTTCTGTGTATGTAGTCCATATAGGACTTCTCTTGGGACAATTTAATTTGGACTATTTCAGTGCATTGAGCAACCAAGATGGGAGAGTATTAGCCAGACACACTTCTCCATTACCCTAGATACCCTTTCCCTCTTTGTACCCTAGAAACACTTCCCCCTTCTTATCCCAAATACAATGTCTTCCCCCATCGTGGCCCCTTATACACTTCCCCATCTTAACTCTGGAAATACTTTCCCCCTTGTCTTAGCTGAAAGACAGTTCCCCATGTCTTAACCCATACACTTCCCCCTTCTTTATTGCCCCATATACAAGTGCCCCTTCTTACCTTGAATACACTGTGCTCCCCCTTCCTCCTTTCTTATCCTGGATACACTTGTCCCTACACTTACACTTCCTTATACAGTGTAAATCCAGGATACACTTTCCAAAGTCTAATAAATACCCAATCACCCCTCCCGCTTTTTACTCCAGATACACCCCCCCTTCTTATCCCCTCGCAATACCATGTCGTTGTTAATAATTGTTTCAAACATACCAGTATCTGTGGTCTTCCAAGTGCTGTCACCTTGATTGCCGCAAAACCATCACTGGATGCTTCACCTATTGTTATCAACAAAGGCAGTTAATTAGGATTTACATGACTTTAAATGTATTGTTAAAAAATGAATCACAACTTTGAATTTAAAGCAAGGTGTTTTGGTTGATCTACGATCATCTTCAGTTGCAAGTACAGTGTAATACAGTGAGTTACTGTCACAGTGAAGTGAAATAACAATGATGAAATTGTACGTGATGTTATAACTCATCTTTACAATAATAATTTTAAACTTCTTAGCAAACAGCACATGCCACGGAAAGGCACAAAAAAATACAAAATTAATAAATTAAAATTAAAAATTGTTTAAAAATGTATAAAGTATGGGTCAGTAATAAATTTATATTACATAAATAAATAATATAATAATAAAGATAGCAAAAATAAAGTTAAAACGAAAGAGCAAGCTCAGCATTATATGTTTGAGCTGAATGTTCAATGTTGGCTTCTCCCACAACAACAACTAGTGTAGATTTTGTGCCGAATCCAAAATTGGAAAGCACCTCTTTCAGCATAATTTGCAACATAATTTCCACAACTGTTGCAAATGCATAAAGATGATAGAGGTCCTATCCCTGATTTAAATCTTGTTTTTATTATCATGTGGTTATTACACTAGTTTGACAATAATCAAAACAGTGGCAACAGGAAAAAAACAGGGGTGGGGAGTCCCCACCTAATTGTGAACACTAAAAGGTGGTTCATAAGAGTTTTCTGTACTAGTAAGGTGATAAAAAGCTGACCCCAGTGAAAATGCCTCATTATAAGCCACAATTAAAATACAAACCTGCTGCATCAATACATTTCAAAAATGTTTCCACTCTCTTGTCACACTCTGCTTCTCCTTCATAAAAGTATGTCCTGGCACTATAAACTCCTTTCCTCCTATCTGCAAACTCAGCATGAGGCTTATAACGGGCATGTTCATCAGATGGATCTAAAGTCTCACAGCTGTTAGCATCCACGTGGCTCTTCGTCTCATTTTCAGACAGGTCCTCTTCGACAGAGTAATCCAAAATTGCACCAACTCCAAACTTTTCCAAATTTTTTATGACAGGTTTAATTGCTTCCTGGTCTTCACCCGCCACAAAGTGTCCATAAAAGGAAGCTTTCATCAATCTTCTAAATAATTGTTTGCCAAGAACCTTTTGCCCCAGGTTCAAAAGCTAAAAAATATTTAAAAAAAACATGAAGATGAAATTTCCAATTCCTTTCAAATAATCATTGCATAATGGTTCAAACAAGCTACAAGAATTATTACTTCATTATAAGAATAAAGTTCTATTTTTTTCCGGTTTTAATTAATGTTTACAAACTGTCCAGCTATGATGAGCCAAAACTGCTCAATAGATCATTAATAAATTTTGCATGATGACATCATTTTACTATTACGACCAAAATCCTTCAGGGGATTCCTTTCTTGTGTAAATTAGACCTTTTGTTATTTAAACCTCGCTGAGGCTGCCAAATTTGAATATGAAAGGAAAAACGAAGAGGATTCTGGTCGTAGTAGTAAAATGACGCCATTGTGCAAATGGCCTATTAAAATGCCATTTACAAGTCAAGCACTGTGCAGCCTTCTGTTCCACATGCAAAATATCAGCTGTGGAGGTTCAGGCAAATTTCTAGATAGTTTTTGGGTTTTAAAGTGACACACCAGTCTTGACTTTCACTTTTTGCCGTCTCTTCTCTCCTCTTCTTTCGCTTTTCTTGCCTCCTTTAAATATTGCTGGGCATTTATGTTGCTAGGCTTCATTTTGGTGGGAAAAGTTTTTGGGAGAGCTTTTCTTGCATCTTAGGATTAAATGAAAGAAAAAGGTTAATGGGTAGTGAAACAAGATTTTCATGGAAATTTTAGGGTCAACATTACATGGCTTTTTGCTTTTTTCTCTGGCCTCCTTGAGTGAATTGTGCTTATTCTTGTCTGGTTTGAAAGATCTCTTTTCCCTTCACATGATGGACAATAAAGTTGGACCTGGATCCACACGCGCTGGGCAGATCAGGGCCAAAGAGTTAAATGTTTTCACAGTATACATAGACTTGCTTCAAGATGACCTCCCGTGAGTTCTTAAAAGCGAGCGAGGTGAGCTTCAATAAGAAAAAGAGAACAAAGCTAGCTTTTTTGCATTTTCTTCGGGCCTCATTGACTGAACCACACTCATTCTCGTACAGTTTGAAAGATCTCTTCCCCCCGCATCCCGGCCCTGCACAAGCTAAAAGTTGGACCTGGATCCGCACAGGCAGTGCAGTTTAGAGGCAAATGGGTTAAATATGGCATAACCAACCAGGAAAAAATAAAAGTAAGGGACGTTTAGAAAGTTTACAGCGAATAGAAGCTCTGTCAAGACAAGCCACTGTACTTCCTGCTTGGGCTGCCTGTGATCCTTGAAGAGGTTTGAAAACCGACAACAAGCGAACCGGCTTTACTTAGGTCTTGAATTAAAAAAAGTGTTTTTAGAGCCTGAAATCTGACAAGATAACAACCAAGTAACGTGAATATAACTATGAAACAACATGGCATAATATCTCTTACGTAACAGGTAAACAAAATTAATACTCATACTCAAAAGTTTATAAAAGCTAACAAAAAGAAAGCAAAACTTTTGACAGGGCATTTGTAACGCAAGAAAATATCGTTTATGAGAAGGGATTTAGTAAAATAAAAGGATTTGCATATTACAATACCATACACCCGCTCCGTCAGATTTTAAATATTAGCTTAGTTTAAAAATAGAGTAAAATGTCGACCGGATGGATTATCTTCAGCATATAAAATGAAGGACTGTCATACCTCTTTGTTCTTGTTGACAAGAAAATCGTAGGAGCACAGCCTGAAAATTGCCAAAGCTCGGACAATTTCCCAACTTGTTTTCGACTGGTAGGCACTCTCAGCATCGTCAAAACTAAAACCCGAGTGCGTGGTTTGAGTGTGTGGCGATGAACCGGCGATCTCATCGTTGTTTGCCGCTTTGAACGGATCCGTCGCTGCAGTGACACTAGCGACGCTATCGTGACTACTGTTTCTTTTCACAAAAGATCGAATGGTATTATACGGTCCTCCATCGAAAAGAATTTTCGATCGAAGTGTCCTAGTGCACACAATTCGTCTCGCCATTCTAAAATTAACTCATTTGCAAGTCGATCTGCGTTTGTTGGCGCACATTTTCAGTACGTGCGCGTGCTAGAAACCTGTTTTTCAAGATTTGGAGATGGAAAAAAAAAACGACATCGCCTGATAGATGGCAGCCAAGCCTTCTGCCAAGCCGGCGAAAAAATTTCTGATAAGATTCCCTTAGAAATTAACGAAACAAAAAACTCTGAACTTGTTTATGTGAAGCTGTTGTGCTGCACAAGGTTGCTGATAATTTCGAATAAAACTTTGACCCGCTATGTCCGAAAATTGTTGATTATAATTTTAAAATTTCACTTGAAAACAATGACAGGTGCAGGTGCTTTTACAAGTAGAAAGGTGATAAGCGAACAGAAGCATAGTTCAGTTTGACGATTTTTGTCTCAGAATTCGCCACATAAACTTGCACTGAAAACAAGTGCATATGACAGCAATGGTGGAGCATGGAAATATTCGGTGGGGTGGGACATGGGAGGGGGAGAGGGTGAATAGAGGAATGATGGCGAGTCAATTATTCCGTTATATTTCCCCGAAAATTGAAGTTATGCCATTATTCCACCCCAAAAATGGCATTATGCCGTTATTCCAACTCGAGATTATTTGCTATTCTTTCTTAATTTTTCCTCTTCAGCTCTTTTATAACGCTTCTGACTTTTCCCTCCTTCCCCTAGCTTCTCCCACTCATGCAGAGAAACGTTACACCAGACGATTCGCAACAATGGCTTTTAGCGCAACACAGCGTTGATTGTGGCAATTCGATTGGTTACAACTTTGTTCCACTGTGTTACGCTTAAAATCGTCTCGTGTCTCTTCACGTGCTGAAATCACATTAGGCTTGTTACGTTGCTTCTGTGGGGGTGCGGTTCAGGCTTTTGTTCTTAGCATTCACCGTTTGGGACAAAAACTGTACTCAAACGGGAGCCGATTATTTGCAGTACAATACAAAGATCTTCAGAATATGGGTTGCAGCTCTTTTGTTTTCGCTTACTACTGGCATCTCATTAAATATTACAGACAGTTTTCTTTGTCCATGTGGGCAACGACCCTTGTTTCTCGCCCCGGAGGGGGGGGTACTGCCATATATGGGCTATATGGGTATGTGCCGCTGTGAAGGGTATGGTTTTCAAGCAGTTTACTCTAGGATAGGGTATATAAATCAGGGCGTTTGGGTCTAGAATAGGGTATCATTTTTCAGGAAACTGATCAGTTGGTTGAAGATTTTATCTAGACTGGGGAAACAGCTACTCTAGGATAGGGGGATTTTGGGAGTTTACTCTAGTATAGGGTAGCAAAATTCAGCTGAACTAGCTCTGGTATAGGTCAAGGGTTCCAGGGTCCCAGCGGCACATCCCCACCCAGAATTTCCTAAAGTGCCCCCCCCGGGTTTCTCGCCCAGTCAACAGATTCTAATAGACAGGCGGACTCTTCATTGTTAACTGTTTGCTGTAGTAAACCTTTCCGTACAACGCATTAAAAACGGGAAGTAGGACTCAGTATTTAATAAATCCTTCGTTTTCTGAAAAGTTACACTTTTTAGGGAGGATTGTAGAATATTTGGTGTTGAAAGTAAAGTCGTAAGGTTTTTATTCATTCCAGCTTTACCAATAACAAATAATAGTTGTTTTGCTTTAAATTTAGTCTAAAGGGTGAAATGCTAGACGGGGATTTGTAATTTTATTTTTCTTGGACTACAATAATTAGGAATCCTTTTGGCCAGCACCTCGAATGATCAAGTATTAACGAAGGCTCTGCAGTATGGCGCCATCTGTGGCAACCTTGCATAACTTGGAACATGGAAAACTTACGTCAAGATACAAAAAAAAGCGGAATCAACAGTGATAATTTTTATTACTTTGAATATCATCGAGTCATTCGCTTCATAACCTTCACTCTACACCTTGAATAACTTACTGCCACATTTACAAATGTTTAACCTTGATATTAGCATATACCAGGGGCCGCTCGACGGCGACGGCAACGAGAACTTCGAAAAAGCAATAGGTTTAGATCAGCGAAACAACAATTCTGCACAACACGCTCTTTTGTACATTTCTTTGCCATCACTGCACGACTATGACGTGAAAATACCTAATTTCATGTTGGAGGACGTAAACAAGGGAGGACGAATTTGTCTTTGTCTGTTTAAACTTGAGTTGGGCCTCCCCAAGAAATCAACTCAAAGGAAATACGCTTACATTTGACTTTTTCGGTGAACAGGAATAAAGGCGACAAAGTTTGAAAAAACGCAAACTCATTTTAAAAGTGACGTTTTTGCTGCCGTCGCCGTCGTCGATGTTAAGGCCTGTGTACAGACGTCCCCCCTCCCTCAGGAAAACCGATTTTTTTCTGAGGGAGTGGGGGACGTCTGTACACAGGCTACGATGCTAAACGAAAAGCTGACGACTTCCCGCCTCCCCCTCCCCTCCGCTCCGCCTCACCCCTGCCTCGTCTCGTTTGTCTTTTCCGTTTGTATTTGGTTAATATCATTTGCAAAGTTTCCTGCTCTCAGGCAAACAAAAAACGATGCTGTGTCCTCCAAATTGATCTATTCTACCGGTGGCATGCATGTGTTAAACCCTGACGAAGTATCCATAGGCACGCGCAGGAGTAAAAGGGAATTAACTCCCATCCCGAACAACAAATAATGTATAGTAGAATAGTTATTATAAAAAAGTTAAACTATATTTCTTATGAACACTTGAGACTGTATTACTTCGCGATGTAGTTTCTGATCAGAGCTTTGCGAAGTTCTCCGTCTTTGATTGACGTACGCTGACGATGCCATACGAGGTTCCATTCACAGGATAACTTTAGGAAGATACTAATTTTAAAAAATGCAAAGTTCTTTAGTCCCATTGAAGCAAAGACTGCGAAAGTTTCGTGAGTAGCTTGTGGCCATCCGGATTGCACGACCCACTCGTCTCGTTCTCCGCTTCGAGTTTTTTCTGAAGTTGCTTCCTCAACTGCCGGCTATGATCGGTCGTTTCTTGTTGTAGTTTGTCAATCTCAGTTTGTAATTTCTGGTTATCATTTACGAGCTGAGAAATACTCTTTGTGATTTGAAGAAGTCCCGAGCAACGCAAAAGCGCTGCTGTATTGTTAAATCTTTCAACATCATTGGTACCGACTTTACTGCTAGTATGTAGACGTTTCTTTCCTTTACGGCCGTGCTTGCGATAATTTCGTGATATATCACCAGTCAGTCCTGAACTTTTTCTCGTAAATCTTCCTCGTTTTACTTCAGAATCCTTGTCAGTCATTTCTTCCGAGGAAATGGATGTTTGATCGAAATTGTTTTTTAAAAGCCATTCACTGGTTTTCGAAGCACCGTCCAACGTGGTTTCGTTTAGGGCATCACACATCATGCCATCTTCAAGGAATAGTAAATAAACTTGAATAAACTTGACTGGGCCTTTGGGTTCTTAAACCTGGCAGATCTCTTTGATATCTTGTTCAAAAATAGACTATATTTTTAAGAGGACTATATCCAGCTCCAAAACAGCAACAGCGACGACGAATACACAACACAGCTTTGCCTATCTCAATTCACTTACTTCACGTGAAGTTAGCACGTGAAAGCTTCAATGTTTGGGTCCTTCATTGGGTTCGGTCGCGTGCATCAGAAACGTGCCGTAAGTAAGGCGAGCGCGACGACCATTTGACTTTTGAGGGGGAGGGGGAAGGGGTATAGGTGATTTCAGAAAAAATTATCCTTCAGACAGATTTCGAGGGGAAAAATTTCTTGCAAGGACATACCTGGGGAAAAGATGTCCAACACTGAAAACAATTTCTTTCATGGATGGAAAAATTAAATCTTATACCGTGAAGAAGAAAAAAAATTCATCGTAAACCAAATCACCCATACCCCCTTCCCTCAAAAGTCAAATGATCAAATGAAACTGAAATCAAATGAAAGGCAAATGAAAGACAAATGAAAGCCGTCGCCTTTGCCTTATGGAATTTGTTTGTTTTGTCTTGTTTTTAAAAGGGGCTGTGTCACGGCTCTCTCCAGTTCATATTGTTATTATACGCCACAGAAATTAAAATTAACGTTTGCGAAGAATTAATTGCAAATGACAAAATCACAGCTTTGTGTCCACCGGGGGGAGGGGGTACTCCCTTACAAGAAGCTATATTAGAATGTGCCTCCCAAACTGGTATGGTTTTTGCGCCATTTCAGACCGAGAAAGGGTATAGATTTTGCCCATACTGCTCTGGAATCGGGTATCGTTTTCGAGGAAACTACAAGAGTATATAAACGTATTTGTCTTTTTAATTCCAAGTGAATCAGAAAGAAAAAGTAAAAAGAAATCTCTTCGTTTGAGCTCTAGTCTAAAAATGGTGACTTAATAATTCAACCTATACCAGGTCATTTTAGCAAAGAAATCCACACCAAGTTCTGATTGCCATGTTTATTCGACTAGGCGCCGAAGTTGAATGAGCACTACATTTGGAACAAAAATAAATAAATAAAATCCGGTTTTCGAACCTTATCAATATTCCCATTACTCCATTTCAAAATATGGATATGGATTTAAGACGCCGAGTCTGAAAACGGGTGTGGAAAATAACATTTTTAAGGCTGAAAAAGGGTTAGGATTTAGAGAACCGGGCGGCACAGCCCCACGAAAAATTCCCGGGAATACCCCCAGGTGTGTCCACAGGTGAAATGGAGTAAATGTATGGGAATATTGATAACGTTCGAACACCGGAATCACAGCTTTGTGTCCACAGGTGGCGAACACAAACTGTGACTGAATTTTGAAATGGAGTAATGGGAATATTGATAAGGTTCGAAAACCGGATTTTATTTATTTATTTATTTATTTTTGTTCCAAATGTAGTGCTCATTCAACTTCGGCGCCCAGTCGAATAAACATGGCAATCAGAACTTGGGGTGGATTTCTTTGCTAAAATCCAAGATCAGAGATAAAAAATCGGGATCAGTAGGATTTTTCGGTAAAAAACAAAACGATGTATCCAAGAAAAGGATTATTTTCATTCACCTCCAAACTTAACCTAGAAAGAATATCCCAAAGACAGAGTAACACAGCTGCTGACTATGTAGCAAGTAGCTGATCTTTCATTCTATTCTGGACGATTAGCTCACCGCTATTACCGCTTTAGACAGGCCAAATGAAGACGAGTTTTGCAATATTAAAGATATAAACTTGAAAAATGAAGTCTTCCAAGACGCGCCGGCGAAGTTGAAAAGCAGTTTTACTGAGTTTTGTCCTTGTAAACTAGAACGATGCAGGTCCTGTTGGCATTGCGATTTTACCACCCCCTGATAAAACGAATAAAATAAATCGTTAAATCCACGCCTCGGGTCAAAAATGGCCGTAAAGATGAGCAGTACAGCTACTCAAACAGCTGATGTGTTCAAGTTTATACCGCTTACTCTTTTCGGGTCCGTAAGTATCCGGTGTTGAAAAGGATCTATCCTTTGTACAGCCGCCCCTCACCTCAAAAAAATCGATTTTTTTTTAGGTGAGGGGCGGCTGTACACAGGCTAAAAAGGATCCAAAGAATCCATCTCCGTTGTGGATCATTTGGATCAATGATAAGTTTTTTTTTTCGGATTTTAGTAAAGAAACGAAACGTCCTATTTTGATTAAAAAACCGGATTTGGGTTTCAGTATAGAAAGGCACCCATACAGAGGACTCGGAGCCCGGGAGAAAATAAAAGGGCTGCATGGGAGGCCAAGGTTACCATCAAGTGGTCACCGAAAAGAGGTTTTTGGCAATCTGTTTTTTCTTTCCATACAATTTACATTATTCATATCTTCTTTCAACGTTTTGAGCTGTTATTTCAATGTATTACTCAATTTGGTGGCATCTCTCACTGTTTGAATTTAATTAATTTCGTGACGCAGCTCCTTTAGAAAACGGAAAACAAATTCCACAAGGCTCAGGGCCACCCAACGACAATTTTCGGGAAAATATCTGTTCGGAAGACGATTTGAGAACTAGAATTTTCGGAACAGTTGTTGTAAAATTTCTTGCTTGCCTGCCTCTGCTAGGATTTTCGAACATTTACAAAATGGTGTAATTAGCCATTTTAAACGGATATTTACCCTAAAAAAGGCCACCTAGAATTTTCGGGAGCCTTTACCTGGCTGAAATTTTCGAAAAGGTAAGTTTTGATCCCTATAATTTTCGGATCACTAGACTTTCACATTACTCACTAGGAAATCCGGACAGATGACAAGTTTTTAGGGGATAAAAAGATGCCTATATCTACCGTTTAAATACTAAAATACGTTCAACAATGCTATGTTAAGTGGTTTTGAACTATATCCTCGTTGGGTGCCCCTGAAGGCTATCCGCGATATGTTGCAAACAGATCGAATTCACCCGAAGGCACGCGTTCCTTTGACAAGGCCATGCTAGAATTCTGCCAGTAGAGAGCAGAATGGGACGTATATTGGACAAATCAACTCAAAACTGCAATTCTGCACTAAACTGAGGGCATTAAGAGTGATTTTCTGTAAAATTCGAACTTCGGCCTGACACGGTACCTCATCGATTTGGCTGATTTTTGGCATGTAGTCTTAGAATGGTGTCCTAAATACTGAATGCATATTCTAAGGTTCGAATTCTCGTTGGTTTCAAAGATACAGGAATGACAGTTTGACGAGGCCTCGAGCGGCCACCATGTTGGTGAACTGAAGGAGATTTACAGTAATTAATTCTAGCCTTATCATTAAAATAACTTAATCGTGACTCATACAGTTGCAAAGAACTATCCTTCCTCCTTTCATTTACCTACTCTTATCTGAAAATGGTTAAGCCTGAGCTACGAACGGCTATAACTTCTCACAGCACTTTTTCGGTACTTAAAAGGTACACAAATTTGGTAGAAATTGGAAGGCCAATATCACCCATGCCACATCGATTTAGACTAAGCCATTTTAACTAAACATAGTTTGTTTATAGCTAAGTTAGATTGTTGAATAAAATAATTGGGCAAATGCAACGGAACAGAAATATGATTGCATGAATGCGCAGTGGTTCAGCCACTTGGCCGCTAAAACTTCAAAACAAAATTCGGTGAATATTTGAAAAGAAAATTCTTTAAAAATTGATCGTGCCTCTTAAACCCTATCTATCGCTTAAAAAACCCTCCCTTGTAATGTAAACAGATGATCTTTTGATTCTGATCTTGCGAAGAGCTTGAAATATACGCTAAAATGAAAATTATAAATTTTGTTACACACGGTACTAGCTCAAGTTCGCTCTTCGATTTCCCAGACCAATCGGGAGCCGCTCGTGTACTGCACAGTTACACTTTTCTCTGTAGTATTTCGCTGTATACAGCTACAAATTACATATTTTCTTAGGCAAAGATAACGCAAACGTTGTCAATTTTAATCAAAAGGCTAGAAAAACCAACCGTGCACTGTAGCTTTATGCAAATTGTATGGTATTCGATAATTACACGTGTAAACAGGAACCTACCTTTGCTAATGTACACTGTTTGGCAGATCTTTCCAGCGTAAGATATACAACTAGTTCATGAAATGAAATTAAAGAACTCATCAAGTCAAATTACCTGATCGTACCATCATTACTGAATAATAAGTCCGCAAAATATGACATGGAATGATCGGTGGGAGACGAAGCTATTTTTAGGAGGACAGGGAACTGCACGCTGGAACGGAACTGAAATGAACAACCTCAATCAAGTTCAGTCTTCTTGACGCTATTAAACGTTTCACCCGAATTTGAACAGGAATTTGTTTTCTATTTTCTTTCTCATTCTTACATGTATTCTGCAGTTCGCCCACTATTTTTTCGCAACTTTTAATTTTCTAGATAACTGGAACTGTTAAGAACTACCAACCCCCCTCCCCCCTCCCCCTCTTTGAGTGAACTTTCATTCGGTCTGATTCACAATAATTTTCGAACGGTGACAAAGTGAAATTTGAAATGACATTTTATTTAGCATTTTTAAAAGCTCCTTCTTTTTTTCCCGATAGCCAGGAATGTTTTGAACGTAAAGGCTCAAGTGGCGGTGTTTTTCACGACTCTGCTTGTAGACTGACCTCACCACCAGTACCACGGACATAAAATCTGATCGCAGAGGGTCATACAGTAACTGATGGGTCTCTGAAAAGCGAAATGCAGTCACTCTGGGGCGAGCAGGCTATATAGATGGTGAACTCATTGTTTATAACCCCATAACCGTATCCCAAAAGTCGAGCCAGCCCGGGGCGAGCGAACACAATTTTGGGGCCACTGGCCACGCCCTTATGTT